ATTATTGACCACGACCACAATATAATACCTATTAATAACAATAATAATGTCAATTTTGTATAAAATACAATAAATACTATTTCATCAACATAATATACTACTTTAGGTCTTCAATGTATATTTTTTTATTTAATTATTTAGCTATCTAGTTTTTATGACGTAAGCGCGGGGCCCTAAAATTCGCGYGGGGCCTAGGACAAATGTCCCAGTTGACCTACCCTAGGGCCGGCCCTGGACACAAGACGCCGAATTTGATCACCGACCTTCAAACTATACAAATCTCGAGTTTCAGAATCGTCGTACAAAAACTTAACTTTTTCCAAAATACACTTAAGGGGAGGGGGGGGGAGTCGAAGACMCCCGACTCCGGCAGTACGTTTTAGAAGGGCTTAAATCGAAACGTTTGGTAACTTAAAGTCTAATATTATCCTATGTGAACGTCATCTACAACTTATAAATGATTTATTGAACTTTAAAAACAATTACATTTTTACATACGTTTGTTCGCATATGGTAATTATGCAGTATACCTATTCATATAACGACATAAATATTAAATCTTTTTAAGTGTGTTAAACATGAACAAGTGCTTATATAATTGATGAACTTTAAATTTCAATCATCACAGTTAGGTAATGATGTATACGTCTCGAAAATGCTTATAATTAAATATATTTTGTTATAATACGACATGTCTTAAAATCTACTAACACTGTACAATAGATATAGACTTATACTAAATTAGTAAATGACAAATGTATATTATAATATTAGGTATCTATTCAGAACTATTGTGGTCGTCCGTTTGTGTATGAGATTAATCCTACATAGGAGAACGAGAAATGAGGAAATTTATAGTTTATCGATAGAAAATTTTATGGAGATTCCATTTAAATGGTTGGTGTAATGAATTTTCCAGTAGTTAAAAAGATAGTTTTCAAAAATCATAAAAAAACCAAAAATCCATACATAATCATTGATTTTTAATATGATAACGAATTATTAATTAGTTTTTATTCTTATCACTCCGGGAGAACTGGGGTATCACCGTTCATTTCCATAAGAAATTATATGGGATGGGATATGAATTTTATCGTTGGTACCACTGTTGAACTTGTCCATTCAGTCCATTAAGTTCAGTCAATTAGACTCTCCTCACATTAATGTTGGTTGTATTACTTATTAAAACAAAATTAAAACAATTAAAATGTTTTTAGATTATTAGATAACAGTTATCTGAAACATTTTAACATATTAACATATCAAATAACCTTGTTTGGTAATTAACATAATAAAAAGAAAAAATATAGTAAAAATTATAACATTCCTTGCAAACTGATTTTAATAATTATATTATTTCTAATTCATAAATTATTCCTTTAATTGCTTAATTTCCATTGCTAATTTTTGGCATTGTAGTTTGTATAATTTTTTTTCTTCTAATCTATTTGCTACTAGTCCTTGCATAATGAGTTTTTGATTTAAAATCTAAAACCACAAATAGTTAATTCTAGTTATATTGTCATTTAAAACTTTCTAGTCAGTGGTTGACCACTAAACAAAAAAAAATAATATTTTAAAACCACTAACTAGTTTGAAAGTTTGTAAAAA